CACCAACGTGTGATTGGGCTAGTCAACATTACAAAAGACGGTCACTAATCGACAGATTCAGTGGCGTAGATGGTAAAGCATGTATCATATTTCTTTTGACGCGATTGACCCAGGTTTGAATCTGCCTTTTGGCGAACTTTTTTTCTCCCTTTTCAAATTTCAAATCACACCAGAAAAGCATTTATTTTTAATAAAAATGAAGAAAATAATCAAAAAGTTGAAAATAAAGTATCGGGTAGGGTTAGGTGTAGGGAGGGCTTTTGTCCCAATAAGGTGGCATCCATTTAATAATTTGAATTAAAATTAAAATTTACACTCAATAAGTTATTATTGCATTTGAAGTGCATTTCTACTTCGTGAAGTGGACAAGGGAAGTTTATATAGGCAGACCCTCGACCCCTCAATTTTGACCGAGGGAGCGAGTCTGCTACATATGCACACTTCAGGCCGCTCTATACATCATTGCAGATCGCGTTTAATTTATCCCCACCCCAAACAACTCTATAATATATAAAAAATTTTTTTTTTTTACATTTATAACAGCCCAAGCATACCTATATACATATAGAATGCTGCACCAAAAAAATGTGTAAGGGGAAAAATGTAAACAATAAACCAACTACATAGTGGATTCTAAGTGATCAAGGGCTTAGGACGTTCCAATTCAGCCCATTCCAAGGGTTCCGCAAAGTAGTGTGTACTCATGCAACGTAATCAATGACGTACATCCGAGTAAACGAGACGGAGGGAAGTTAGCGAGTGAAGGGCATAAAAAATGGACTGGAACGCAGCCAAAGTGAACAAATTTGGACACTGACGTATACTGCGCTTCAGAGAGGTGGAGCTGTCGCAGAAACATCTTCGTCAATTATGTACTTCTATATTACATGTACCTTATTTTAGAAAGTACTATTAATAACAATGACTTCATATTGTAATTATACATACCTCTGCGCCAGCTTTGTGGTTTCATTTTTGTAATGCATAATATGTTCATAATAATTAAATACTATTAAAGGGGTCATATGATGCTGCTAAAAAGAACATTATTTTGTGTATTTGGTGTAATGAAATGTGTTTATGCGGTTTAAAGTTCAAAAAACACATTATTTTCCACATACTGTACATTGTTGTTTCTCCTCTATGCCCCGCCTTTTTGAAACGCGTCGATTTTTACAAAACTTTATGCAACAAGAGCTTGTAACACTCCAAAGAGAAAGGAAAAATTTAAATCGCATCATATGACCCCTTTAAAATACTGGCAACAAAAATAAACACACATATAACACATACATTTTATGTATTTATTATTTTTAGTATCTTGAAACTCTCCCGAGCAGCGTTTTGTGCTCAGATAAGATGACAGTGCTCGTAGAGCGCCCCCAGACAACTGTTAATTTTACATTAGGATGAATACGCCACATACAGGTGATTAACGAATATTTTTTTTAAATATTAATTTTTTTCTCTATCATCTCTTGTAAGTTAACAATGCCACCTCAGTAAATTAGTAAAACATTAATCTGAGTTAATGCCTAAATAATATTTTTTATTTTAATAATGTGTGAAATAACCGTTAAAGCAAAAATAATAAAGATGTAAACTGCATCTCTCATTCAAACTTGCTCACTCCCACTATCTCTTCCAGCTCGTCTGTCCTCTCCGCATTGGATTATGGGAAATAGTGCTTCAGTGAGTGTACATTGGTTGTACACTCGAAATCTGAGAGGATTGTGGGTAAAAAGTAGTGAACAAATGTAGGGAATGATCTTGTTCACGCAGAATTCAGCCGACACCCAATATAGTGCACTATATAGGGGATAGGGAGCTGTTTGGGAACAGCTTATGAAGACAAACAAGGCAAAAGTGGAAACATGTTTGTGACAGCAGGAAACAATTTACACATAGTTTAAGTGTATTAAAAACACCAGACAGACATGTAAGCAACGTTAAAAACTTTCACCACAGGTGTTTTTAAATAAGACTCCGCAGGTCACTCCAGGAAGGATTGTCACTGTTATAAATGTATTGTGAGTGCTTGGCTATATGGTCATGACATCCTGTTGTTCTCAAATATTGTACGTTGGTAGAAACAAAACTGTCACCCCTATTAACAAACAAACTAAACTAGTCTCACTGTGTGATACATTTTAAAAAACTAATAGATCCCAAAGTTACAATCATTAATGCACCTGGTTGATTATTAGGTGCTAATTGGCTGTTTTGATCCTCATATGCAAAGCAAAGACCATCTTAAAGTTGATTTGTTGGTTAAGGTAATAAACAGCGTGTGTCTCCTACTTTCTCCATGCAGGTGTGTGAAGAGCCGGTGCTGGTGAAGGAGTCGTCCAGGCTAGCGTCTCCTCTTTCCAGTCCTCAATCCGTGAGCCATCAGGTGCAGCTCCTGCAGAGGCAGTTACAGCAGCAGGAACAGAGGAGTCAAGCCGCCTCAGCACAGGTCACATCACACGTCTGATCGCTTTGTCATGCTGGTTGTATTGACATATAACATACCTGTGGCACTGCTTTTGTTTTGTGAATTTCTCAGTCATGAAATTACTATTAGTAGGGATAAACGTATTTATTTATTTTCTGGCCAATACGATAAGCCAATAAATCATTTTCATTATTATCATTAAAAGGACAGTATTCAAATGTATTCAGTATTCAATTCTATTTTGTCTAAATAAATTTAAACTAAAATGCAAAAAAAATTTATTCATTCAAAGTCATTCATTTTAAAAGCTACAAGTGAATCTAGATATAACAACATTATAGTGTAAATAATACATATTCACTTTTAAATTTGATACCCAAAATTCACCCTATCTATTTTGCATGTTATAGATCTTTTTGTTAACGATTCGTCCCATGCATATGTTTCAATTTTTGCAAAAACTTTTTAACCATACAATTTTCAATTAAAACTCACTGGTGATGTACGTCAGACTTCTCCAATCATTTGGAGAAGAATATCATGAGAGTCTGATTAAAGTCCTCACTTGCAAGCTCATGTTGATCAAGTCCGCGTGGTTTTCCCGCGGAATCGGGCTACTTTAACACTGTTGCCGTGGGTTGTTTTTCAAGTCCACGGGTTGAAGCGACTCCAATAACATGATATTTATCAACTGGAATGCGAATTTTAGCAAGGGAACCCCACCAAAAAACGTGTATTTTACCCCCCGCAACGCGATTTTTAACTGGGGACCCCCTCGAAACGCGATTGGGCTAGTTGTGGGCTAGTTTTGAGTAGCGATTGGGCAACCCTGATGTTGATCTACCTGTACATCTACCTAAAGGTGTTATTAAATTAATAATAGGGGACACCCTGGACCGGTGGCCAGTTCATTGAACAACATATATTTATATAATTTAAATGAATACATAATTATATAATTTATATAATTATTTATATATTAATGACTTATATTTATATAATTTAATTAATATATTTTAATAGACCTGTACGTCATCTTACGTTTCATACAGATGACTGTTGACAAACATAATGCAGGCAGGGCAACAACTAGCATGATGTAGTCCATAAATGCTGTTATGTGCCTTTAAAATTCAAGACATTTGGGGCAAAAAATGTCCCTGTATGATTTTTTGTCTCATTTATATCACATGGGAAGAGATATCACAGTGAGAACATTACAATATCACATGAGTGTTGTTTTTGAGACATTTACCGCCACCTACTGGCAGTTTTAGTTTCTTATTTAGATTGTCATTTCATCAAAAAAACAAAAAAAGAAAAAACATTAGTTTGCCCAAAAATGAAAATTCTGTCATAATTTACTCACCTTCTTGTTGTTTCAATCCTGTATGACTTAATTTCTAACATAATTAATGTTAGGCCGTTGTAAATGTTTATGTGTAATTAATTTGATGTTAAATCAAATAAAAACATTCTTTCTAAAGCTACTTTTTGTAATATCTACTTGATACTTTAAATGATCTTTTGGGGGTATTTTCACAGCCAAATGTAATTTGCGATTACTTCGATTAATTAATCGCCACATCATGTAATTAATTAGATAAAACAATTTGAATCGATTGACAGCCCTAATATATATTAGATATGGATACATTTAAAAATCTCTAATATTGTCTGATAACCAACATGAATGATACCTCTGACTGTCCTGCTTGATGTACTGGTGGATGATAAAATGGGCAAATAAAACCCAAGGGGGAGCACAATATCATAGATACTTGATGGTGGGCTTTTTTAACATGAGCTAGTAAGTAACCACTCTAAACACCTTAGCAACCCTATATCAATGCCTTAGCAGTCACCCAGAATAACCTAGCATCATGGCAGCAGGTTTTTTGCATGCAAGCACCACTCATATTTTCTTAAGAAAATGTCAAATCTAGTAGTTGTTGTTGTGTAGGTGGTTCTGCTTCAGCAGCAGCTGTCGGTGGAGACCAGCGCCAGGACCGAAGCTCAGGCTAGAGTCCAGCAGCTCCTGCAGCAGAACACTGAACTCCTGCAGCATCTCTCACTGCTGGTCAAGAGTAACGATGCTGAAAATTCAGCTCGGCATCACAGAAATAAATTACATTTGAAAATATATTCCGATAGAAAACAGTTAAAATGGTAATAATATTTCAACTTGCTGATTTTACTGTAATCAATTAATTTGTTGATCAGATAAATGCACTCTTGGTGAGCATAAGAGACTAATTTCAAAAACATTAGATCCCATGATATCATTGGAATCACTTTCAGAACAATTTTTTCAATAAAAACATTGACAGCCAATCAGAATCCACTCGACACCAAAGAGCTTGAGCATTTAAAGCGACAGACAATAGAACTGCAGCACACACATATCGTTATTGTACATTGATGTTGATGCAAATATAGTAATCATTATAGATACCTTTATAGTTATCATTCTAGGTGTGAACAGGCCTTTACTTTGGTGATTATATGTTTAGCTTGATAAAGTCACCTCAGTAATGGCACCTCTGAGTTATTCTATCACTGAGTATGCCATGATGTCATTTCCTCCCTGCAGTGGGATCTCAAGACAGCCTTCTGGAAATCGCCCTGCGTGCCAACATGCCAGCTGTATCACGTGAGCCCAACCCGAATCCTCCCTCAAGCGCTCGAGAGGGCTTCCCTCTCTCAAACAGCCTGGTCCGGCTTGAAAGCTTTCGTTTCTTCTCAGAATCTTCAGAGCAGGAGAAGAAGCCGGAGCAGGACCGTGACTCAGGTCAGGGTCAGGATGAAGAATGTAAGTCTCAAGACGTGTGCAATCAAGAGATTTTCCTCTTTGTGACCTCTACATGTGCAAGGCAAATGAGTCATTTTGCTTGTTTAAAAAAATGTTACCCCTAAAATTAAAATCCTGTCATTTACTCATCCTTATGTTGTTCCAAGACTTTCTTGACTTTCCTTTTGCCACTGATCACAAAAGAAGACATTTTGAAGAATGTTCATGCTGCTCTTTTTCAAATAATGAAAGAGAACAGTCTTTACAAGCACCATCAAATTAGTCCCAGGCCCAGCTCGAACTCATTAGTATTTGTAGGTATTGATTTGTAATATTTACACATACCTTTTTGTCTATGTTTGATTATACATTGAAACATGCAATATAAATGTACCAACAGTATCTAAAAGGTAAAAAGTTTTTTTTAATGTATGAACAGCTTTGGTATTGCAAATGTATTTACAAATCCCTTATATTAAAAATATTTTTTGTAGATACTTTCCGTACCCACTGTATATATACCCAGCCAGTGGGTTTCCCGGCTGACCTAATCAAATTTTGTCGAACAATGTGCAATTGTGTAAAAAGCATACTTCACCAAAAAAATTAAAATTTCCAAACCTGTGAATTGTTTTTCGTCCATAAAATGAAAGTCAATGGAGTTCAATCAATGTTGTTTTGGACCCCACTAACTTTCATCACATGGACAAAAAAATAAATACATTTAAATACTTTTATTTCACAAGGATGCATTACATTGATCAAAAGTGACAGTAAAGTTGTTTATAATGTTACAAAAAATTTTTTATTTCAAATGTATAATTTAATTCTATTTATAAGTTCTCTTCTTTTCAATTTTCTATCATCAGCATATTAAAATTATTTCTGAAGGATTACATGACACTGAAGACTGGAGTAATTATGCTAAAAATTCAGCTTTTCCATCACATAAATTACATTTTAAAATATATATCCAGAGTATTACCCCAAATTTACTATGTTTTTTATCAAATATATTCAAATATATTCATCTCCCATCACCCCAAATTTTTCATCGGTAGTGTATTCTTTTGTAGAAGAAAGTAAGTCATACAGGTTTGGAACAACATTAGGGTGAGTAAATGATTTTGTGTGAACTGTCCCTTTAAAGCCAAACATCTACAGTGGTGGCTGGCCTGTTAACATGAGTTTAAAAAAGTGTTTGACTCCGCTCTATTTCTTTGATTTGATTTCAATCTATTCTTCTGAAGGTGGGCTATGTGGTTGTCAGCAATGAAACTAGACTGTTTTTTTTTTCTCCGTAAAGGGATATATTGACAGACAAAAATACATTTAATGCCAGTTTTATTTAAATACTTTCTTTTAATTATATACATGTTTTAATGTTCATCACAATGCTATATGAGTTAGGTTGTTGTTGCCTTTGTGGGCATTTCATGATTTATTTGCCAGTATTTCTAATGTGTCAGGCTTGACTATAAAATGTTTTGCAGCGATGCTAAAGTGAAAGAAAATAAATGTTAAAGAACATGTTAAACTCCATGTGTGCAGCATGTTTGACCTTCACTGTCAATTTTGCAGCTGAGCAGATTGAACTGTTACACAGTGATACCAATGTCAGTATAAACACAAGTGAAAGTATTTGTGCAATAATGTCATATGGTACGGTATATCAGCATTCTTTCTTTATTACTATATGTTTTTTTTATTTTTGGGAAGAGTGTAGCAGTTAATACTAACACTGTATTTCTTTGTGCTCAAGTCTTGTCTAAAGACTGCTGTGTTGTAACGTTCATTTACTTTTAAATAAACTAGTGTCGGTGGATCTTAGTTAACTTTACCCTTGTGAATGAATGAAACTGAATAAAAGAAAATTATTTAAGTTTTTTTTTTTTTACCTTTATCTTTATGTGATTAATAAAGTGTTCTGTTACTAGTAAAGGGGTATGAAAACCTATTAAAAAAAAAAAATATATATATATATATATATATATATGTGATGTG